ATGAAGTTCCTATCCTGATTTCTCAAGTAGTTGATTATTCTGTTGTTATAATTGTAATCACTGGCTATTTTGGTTGTACCTGTGAAAATTAGCTAGATTTCAACGAATTAGTTACTCTTTTTATTTCCTTTTTTGTTGATTTTCCAGTATGTTTCATCAGTGCTGTGCCATAAAATGACTTGAGCTGTAATGCAAAAGGACAATGAGTTGAGTCATCGCTGTAAAAACCCATTAAGGAGACTCCTACCTCTGCCATATAGGAAAGAAAGTACAAATGACATGCATTAACACATCCTGGTGTTTATTTATGTGTCAGAGCATAATAATGCTGAAGGATATAAGACAAAGTGCAAATGCAAACAGAAATGTTATGTAGGTACATATTGTAGCATATATTTTTCTAAGTGCTCTGTCCACTAATAGGTTTGATGTAGTTACCATTCTGGTTTCAGCTCAGGCCTACTTTGCTCTTTTGTGTAACTTGTTTGTCTAAAACAGGCACACAAACAATTCTCACACACACCCTTTAACCCCCCCCCCCCGCTCTCTGCTGGCTCTTCTTTCTGGGATTTGTGGCGAGAATATTATAATATTTCTGTTCCTCATAAATCACTGTGACAGCAAAGGGCCACATTACACCTGAGTACAGGAGCTACCCGTTATTTTTCCCCTCCTTCGTTTTCTTCTCCCTTACCTTTATATCAGGACGCTTCAACCACTTCCACCCCCCTGGGGGATTGACACGTGGCTCCTCATCAGTGCGGCAGAACGTCAACAGCAGCCTTGTCCTCCGGGTGTGTTTTTTAGCTCGTCCTAATTGGCATGGCATGTGCATCATGACACAACAGCGCTGGTGTGTGTGCTCCCACAGCAACAGAAGACCTTTAGTGTGTCTAAAAAGGATGGCCTGTATTTGACACCTGTGTAAAACCAGAGTCGGAATACAAAACAGAGAGGGAAATCAAACCGAGGCTGAAATGTTTTTCTCATTTAAGAGCAGCCTTGCATTTTAAGCAGGTCCAGAAAAACCACACCTTTAAAAAGAATCAGTGTCAGGCCTGTCTCACTACCAGATCGTGGCTGGGTAATCACCAACCCGTGTGTGTGTGCTCGCTAGACTCTGGGTGCCCGCAGGAAGCAGCTGTCAGGCCAGCCAAGTGTCTCTGCGCACACACAAGAATTAAGGACTCATTCTCACCACTCCTATGCCAGGGATAACGTAGAGATCGGATCTTTGAGGTGACGAGAATATGCCAAGATTGGGTGAGCTTAAATAATGTTGACATCCGTGTTTCTGTACCAACCCCCCCCCCACCACCACCACCACGCACACACACACACACACACACACACACACACATAGGAAAATAAAAGTCACACTCCCAAACAGAATTACCAAAGAAACCTGAACTACCTGAACTACGGAAGTCTACAGGAACAATAACTCTGCATATAAGATTTATGAAAATAGATAGATAGATAGATAGATAGATAGATAGATAGATAGATAGATA